AACTTATCTCAAAAGGTATTTGCCAAACACTAGCTTTAACTATTTGATTTGACCAAACAATTAAAGTCAATCCAAAAGTTAAAAGATATGTAAAAAAGTTATTCATGAAACAAGTCCATGCAATTTTTATTTTTTTTTCTAAAAAATAATAGAGTAATACTAGTATGCTACACACCCTTACAAAAATTTTCCTCATGACACTATCTAATGACATAATTATTGAAATGATACCTTAACTATAATAAAATTATCAATTTGGTCTTTAACTATTTTTCTTTAACAATTAAGTCTCTCAACTTTAAAAGTTTTAATCAATTTGGTCGTCCGTTTGTTTTGTTGTTAGACATCCGTTAACTCAAGACCAAATTGGTAATTTTGTTATAGCCAATGGACCATTTCAGTCATCACATGTACCATTTCCTCTGAAAAGTTAATTACTGATGAAATGGTCCATTAACTATAGTGAAACTATTAAGTAATGCGCAATTTAGTCTCATACTATTAAAAGTACCCAATTTAGTCCTCTAACTTGTAAAATCATACCCAATTTGGTCCCCTGTTACAATTGTCATCCATCCACCGTTATAGAGAGTGGCAAAAATGTCCTTTTATCTAATAGTCGAGGGACAAAATGGGTATTAACTATTACTCCGTATTATCTAATAGTCGAGGGACCAAAATGGGTATTAACTATTATTATTATTATTATTATTATTATTATTATTATTATTATTATTATTATTATTATTATTATATTTGATATTGGGACATTGTCTCCCACCACCATATTACTTCTTATTATTTTAAAAACTAAAATGTACCACAAAAATCATGCGCGGTCTTTCCTCCATTTTTTTTCTCTCCTGGGACCTACAAAAAACCACTATCTCTCAGGAGTTCAAAATGCACTCTCTCCCTCTCTCCTTCTTCTCTATCCTCCCACTCATATTCGACCCCACAAAAAATCATAGATGGGGTTGCTCTTAGTTTAGTTTTGTATATCAAGACTAGGGGTGTGCAATCGGTTAACCGAACCGTTTTAATTGACGTTTTTAAAACTTTAACCGTTAACTGAACCGAACTTTGTATTATCGAATTAACCAAACTAAAGTTTTTTCGGTTAATCGGTTGGTTAAATCCTAAAAATAATACATATAATAATAAATCTAATTAAAATAATACATATAATAATAAATCCATAAGAAATATACAAAAACAATACCATAACAACATTACAAATTTATAGGGATTTTACATATTAGGTTATTTGTTTATTTATATATTACAATTCTGGTTAACGGACAATTTCGAACCGAATTAACCGTTAACCAAATCAAATCATCAAAAGATATCATTATGTTCCGAAAGGACTAAAGAGTGGTCAAGTGAGTGAAGCATTATTTGAAGATCATTATAGAGTTCGATATTTGTCAGCACTCTCTTGATTTTTGGGCACATATAAAATAATGATTGCGAAATTTTCTCTGCACCAAAAAAAAAAATAAATAAATAAATAAAGAGAAGACATCTTGATAGTGGATCGATCGAGATCAGCCTAAAGAATGTTTTGTGAAAATAATTTTCAAAGAACAAAGACCACAGTAAACAAATTAAAAATGGGGGAAATCTTAGAATACATCATATGATGTTGTAATGGATATGCCAACTCTGGGAAGCAAATAACAGTTATAAGGTTAGATTCAAGAGGATAATAATTAATGCACTCTAATCATATATGTTTATTTAACTAAAAGAAAAGAAATTGAGATTTCATTAGTTTTTTTTAGTCAATTAACGCACACCACATTTAATGACAAACAGACTAACATTAGTAGCTTAGATTTTATTTGAGTGAATTCCATTTTTGGTCCTACTGTTATAGGGGCGTTTCCAATTTTAGTCCATCTTAATTTTTTTTGCCATTTTATATCCACTATTATTGAATGTGTTTCACTTTTAGTCCCACCGTTAGCATTTCTATCAAGAGGCCGTGTAATCTAGGGGTATTTTGACATTTCTTTTCATCCAAGACTATGTTTGACTAAAGAAATGAGAACATTAAACCTAAAACCTAAGAAACCTCGCCGGTCCATGTTGGAACGAACGAAACGATGTAGCTTTGGCTTCCCATTCTCGTTGTTCGAAGAGCCATCTTCGAATATTGGAGGAGGAGGACGAAGCGCCTGGATTAAAAGAGAAGAGACAAACATAAAAAGACCAAAATACCCTTTGATTATACGGCCTCTTGACGGAAATATTAACGGTGGACTAAAAGTGGAACACATTCAATAACAGTGGTTGTAAAGTGGCAAAAAAAATTAAAGTGGACTGAAATTGGAAACGCCCCTATAACAGTAGGACCAAAAATGGAATTCACTCATTTTATTTTTTAAAATAATACTGTAGAAAGTAATATGGTGGTGGGAGATATTGTCTCAATAATAATAATACCCATTTTGGTCCCTCGACTATTTAGATAAAAGGACGTTTTTGCCCCTCTCTATAACGGTGGATGGATGACAATTGTAACGGAGGACCAAATTGAGTATGATTTTACAAGTTAGAGGACTAAATTGGGTACTTTTAATAGTATGAGACTAAATTGCGCAGTACCAAATAGTCGAGGGACCAAAATGGGTACTAACTCTTATCAATTTGGTCCTAAGTTAACAGATATCTAATGACAAAACAAACGAAGTACCAAATTGGTTAAGATTTTTAAAGTTAAAAAACTTAATTGATTAAAAAAATAGTCAATGTCCAAATTAATAATTTCGTTATAATCAATGAACTATTTCGATAATTAACTCCTATCTAATTGAATTCTTTAGTCTTTGATTATAAGTACGTCGAGTCAAATAATTCACCAGCCTCCAATGAATATAAACAACATAATAGAAGAAAAATAACATCAACTTCCTAATTGAATTCTTTAGTCTTTGATTATAAGTACGTCGAGTCAAATAATTCACCAGCCTCCAATGAATATAAACAACATAATAGAAGAAAAAAAACATCAACTTCCTAATTGACAAACTAATTCGAGGCATTCATCAATCCCCAGCCATTACCGACATAGTCAAAGCACCTCCAACAACCAAGACGAGACCTAACGGCCAAACAATATATATATATATATATATATAGAATAAAGTTCAAATGCGGCGGGGTCTTCCCGTGCGGCGGTGCGGCGAAATTCCAGAATACACCAACAGTGTTAACAATATGCACTAACAGTGTAACAAAAACACACCACAATGAAATGCAATAAAACATCACAAAATACACAACAGACTCAAAAACATACACCATATAACTCACCACCCACTACTAGAAATTATGAAAATTCCGACCACCTGAAAGTGATCTCAAATCAATTTGATACCAAAAAGTGGTCGGAAATAGCAAGAAAGGTTTTTCCGGATACCAAAAGTGGTCGGAACAAGACTTTCGACTTAATTTAAAATCATTTTCAGGTGGTCGGAAATTTCAGAATTTCCAGTAGTGACCCCAATGCTGTATTTCTGAACAGTGTATGGTGTTTTTACTCACACCTAATGGTGTGTGTTTGGTGATACAGGGCTCTGTTTACTCTGTTTTATGTGGTGTATTTTTCTAACGTTGATGGTGCATATTTGTTGAACTATTGGTGTTGCCGCACCGTAAGAAATCGCTGCACCGTAAGACACTGCCGCACCTGAATTCGCCTCTCTCTCTCTCTCTCTCTCTATATATATATATATCTATATATATATATATATATATATATATATATATATATATATATATATATATATATATATATATATATATATATATGGTTGGTACTTGTGTGAAACTGTTTTACAAATTCTTATTCCTGAGGTAGGTCGGGTTAATATGCAAATATAATATTTATACTAACAAATGTAGTACTAAATAAGGAATAAAATACTTGTTAGTTTTTTACTTATAAGGAAAACATTATACTTTTGAGGACAAATGTAATAATTTTATATTTTGATGTAAAAGTATTACATTTTTCATATAAGTAATAAATATTGTATTCCTAATTTAGTATTATATTTGCTAGTATTAGTATTACCTTGACTCGAACCTTCTCACGACATGAGATAGTCTCACACAAAATTTTGTCTTGTTCTAATGAGAAAAAAAGGGTTTGAGGCACATATATTAACAAATATTGTTTTACCATACATCAAAGGGTTCATCTTTGGTCTGGAGTATGAAGCAGTCTTAAATCTCCAGGCTAACGTTTAAAATTCAGCTAAGGGATTAATCACGGTATCATATGGTGGAAATCCTAGATTAAACACAAAAGAAAAAAGGAATAAGGATCAAATAGGCCATCGAACTACACACGAAAATGCAATCAGGCCATTGAACTAAAAAAAGTGCAATTAGGTCCCTGAACAACACAAAATGTTGCAATTAAGCCAAAAATGACTTGTTTACCTGATGAGGAGGTTACAATATTAAAATAATACTTTTTAATTTTATTTTAATAATTTAAAATAACAAATCTAAATTAAAAAAAAAAAAAAAAAAAAAAAAAAAAAAAAAAAAAAAAAACGCTGCCTGGAGACGAAGAACCTATGGCGAGGGACGAAGAGCTCTTCGTCCCCGGTCGGAGACGAAGACCAGGCTGTCGGAGACGAAGATTGGCTTTCTTCGTCTAGGCGGCAAACCTGTTTTTTTTTTTTTTTTTTTTTTTTAAATTTAAATTATTATAATAAAATAAAAAAATTATTATTTTAAATGATAACCTCCACATCAACAAGTTAACAAGTAAACAAGTCATTTTTGGTCGAATTGCAATATTTTGCGTTGTTCAATGGCCCAATTGTATTCTTTTTGAGTTCAGTGGCCTAATTGTATTTTCTTGTGTAGTTCGATGGCCTATTTGACCCTTATTCCAAGAAAAAAAAAGAAACACTTAGCATTGTTATGTAACATTTGAACAACAGCAACAACCTAGTCCCAACACTTAGCATGCTTTAAGGATGTTGTCATGGAAAATCATTAAGCAAACTTTGAATCTCTTCGTCCGCAAATAACCTATCTGGAATAAAAAAGTCTTGTTGTTCCAGTTCTCTGCTATCATCATCATTCCATAACCTCTGATCAGAGCGTTCTTGAAACGAAGTCTCCCCGTCGTTTGAAGTCCCTTCCTCGCTGCCCAGAACTGCAGAATCCATGAAATAAGAAAACGGTTCAGTTTCTGGTGAAAATAATGGAAGGGTTTCCATTGCAGCCTGCAGGAGACCAAATGGTGCCAAATGTTGTTGCGACTTATCGGATGATTGAACACTTTGGGCATCATCATCTGCATGCGACGGCGACCGTGTTTTTGACGATTCCATAACTCCAACGTTGTCGAATTTCTTGAGACAAGTGTGCCAATGATTCTTAATTTCGTTGTCTGATCTTCCCGGCAACCTTGCAGCAATGGCCGACCACCTGGATTAATATAAAAGTGGTCGGAACAAGACTTTCGACTTAATTTAAGATCACTTTCAGGTGGTTGGATTTCCAACAGTGATAACAAGTGCGTTATCGCGACCAGTAAGCAAACTGTCAATGTAACTGTAAGACTGAAGGGTCTACTTACTTGTTCCCGAGTTGTTTGTGGAGATTAAGTATGACTTGATCCTCATCCTTGGTGAAGTTACCTCTTTTGATACCCGGCTTCAAGTAATTCACCCATCTTAATCTGCAACTCTTCCCACATCTCAATAGCCCTGAACATTTGTAATTTGTACCAATCACTAGGTAAAAATGAGGGTCAAAACAAAAAGAGAAATAATGTCGATCGAGGAACAACCAAAAAACAAAAATGGACAACTTTTAAAACGTACCAGCAAGGTTAGGGAGTTGTCGCCAGTTCTGGTGGCCATGCTTGAGAACATGAGCTCTCAACATATCATCTTCTTCTTTACTCCATCCACCTTTCCTCTTTCCATTTTGGTCAACAGAGGGAGTTCTCACCATTTTTGCCTTTTCTTGAAATGATATATCAGTCAAGCAATTTTTGGAAAATCAGACTTTATGGATGAGAAGGTGACAACACAAGGCATACATACACACATATATATAGTTGAGAGTTGACTCATAGTATAGAGACTTCTTCTCAACTTCTGGCTCTTTTCCTAGTACTTCTCCGAAAATTTCCTCCTAGGTTGCTTAGAAATTTAAGAGCTAGGCTTATTATGTTGGATTTGATTCGTACGGAATGTTATCCACTTTTATATTATATATATACTAGTATTTTATATGCGCGATGCGCAAAAAATATATACCCAATATTAAAATTAAATATTAAAAGTTTAGTTATATTAATTTTTTTTAAATAATAGTGTGTGTGTCTATATATATATATATATATTAATCAGGTCTATATATATTAATACTGCCTAATAAAGATACAAAGAAAAAGACATTAATGACCCTACATGTACAAAAAAACCAGCGCACAAGGCAATATACCACATTAAATCTGAGACGTCAAAATATGAAAATAAATGTACAAGATTGAGCCTCACCACCTCACCTGCCAATGCTAACCTCACCGGATCCAAAATATATATATATATATATATATATATATATATATATATATATATATATATATATATATATATATATATATATATATATATATATATATATATATATAATTGTATAATTCATATTAATATTATTGAGGTAAGAATTATAGAAATGATAATTTACTAAATATAACTATGGTAACATTTTAATTAAAACCTAAATGAATTCAAACTTACCATTGAAGGATGTAAGAAAAAATATTGTGTATGCATGTACATGGTAATAATAATGTGGAAAGATAACAGAAGTTATAACAGCAGGGATATTTTTGTCCAAAAAATTATGTAGTACAGCTTTTATAGCACAAGGTACAAAAAAAATTAACGGAATACATGGACATAAACCAGGGGTATAACCTGGATTGAAGCTTATTATGTTTTTAGATTATATACTAGTATTTTTTATGCGTGATGCACAGCCCAATATTAATACATCATATTAAAATTTTAAATTAATTTAAATTTTAGATATTTAAATTATTCTAAATAATAATAATAATGTAAATCATTTTTATAAATTTGATATTTATATTTATGTAATAATTAACATATAACTCTAATATTTAATGTGTATACATTATTATTAATGAAAAGGAATAAGGGTCAAATAGGCCATCGAACTGCACACGATAAAACAATTAGGCCATTGAACCTAAAAAACCAACAATTAGGTCCCTAAACTAATCAATTTCAAACAATTTTTCCAATTTGAAGGTTTCCAACATGTCATCTCCCAAATTAATTATTTTTTTAAAAAATAAATTTTAAAAATAATTATTTTTAAATTAAATTAAAAAAAAAACTGGAATCCAGCCGGAGACGACTGTCTCCGGCTGGAACCAGTTTTTTTTTTTTTTTTTTTTTTTTTTTTTTTTTTAAATTTAAATAATTAATTTTTAAAATTTAAATTTTAAAAAATAATTAATTTTTAAAATTTAAATTTTAAAAAATAATTAATTTGGAAGGATGACCTGTTGACCTGTTGGAAACCTTCAAATTGGAAGAATTGTTTGAAATTGATTAGTTTAGGGACCCAATTGTTGGTTTTTTAAGTTCAATGGCCTAATTGTTTTATCGTGTGCAGTTCGATGGCCTATTTGACCCTTATTCCTAATGAAAAAGATAAGAAAATATAGGTCAAAATACCTATGGAGTCCCTGTACTATTGTCTTTTGTTCAATTTAGTCCTTGTACCTTTATTCTGTTCAATTTAGTCCCTCTAGTTTAAAAAGTGGTAAAATTAAGGACAATTGTCCAAATCTCATTACGAACATGGTTGTAATTATTTATTTTGGACGTACTAATTTAATATATTGGTGGTAAAAATAATAAATTTTAAATATTTATAAAGTAATATATGAGTAGGAATATAAATATCATCAACGCCACATAACCTAACATTGTTAACTATTGTCCTTAATTGCACCACTTTTGAAAGTACAGGGACTAAATTGAACAAAATTAAAATATAAGGACTAAATTGAACAAAACATTATAGTACAGGGACCTCGTAGATACTTTAACCGAAAATATATGGTGGATGCATGTGCATGGTAACAATAGTGGAAAAGATAACGGAAGCTATAACGATAGGGGTATGTTTGTCCAAAATATTTTAATGTACAACCTTTATAGCATAATGTACAAAAAAAAAAAACTTAACGGAAAAAACGGACATAAATCAAGGGTATAACTTTCATTCACACTTATTATGTTTTTAGATATATACTAGTTACCACACTGCAAGAATAGTCCAATGCCGTCTATTATTAAATTAGTGTTTTAGAATTTATCAAAGTATCATTCGGTATATCATGGTGTATGTCAATGCAATATTTCAATAATGTATAACTATAACCTGTGGTGTGCTTCACTGCAATTTTAGTGTCTTGGCGTAATGTACCTTCAAAAACAAAACAAAATGCTATACTATAAATTAGGTGTACCGTTTCATCAATAACCAATGCGTGATTCTAATTAATTGACCAAAATTCATATTAAATTTTATTTTGTATTTTTATAATACGCGGCACTCTAACATATTCATAGTATACATATTTTCTCATCTATGTTGAATATATACTATAAATTAGGTGTACCGTTTCATCAATGACCAATGCGTGATTCTAATTAATTGACCAAAATTCATGTTAAATTTTATTTTGTATTTTTTTTATACGCGGCACTCTAACATATTCATAGTATATGTTTTACAATTATGTTAATTGAGATACAGTTCGAACCTAAGACCTTCCTTATAAAAATCAATGAGCAAGTTAACAATAATAAATAGTTAATGAAATATTTCATTACTAAAGTTTAACTAACATAATGCATGGCTATTTAGGAAAAATAAACGATACAATAGACAGTAAAATAGCAAAAATAATGATAATAAAAAATACTAATATCAAAAGAATATAAACCATTCATTTCAACAAACAATTACATCAACATTTTTTTTTAGTTCCCCTTAGGGGTTTAACTTCATTGGCTCTTATCAGGTTTGTAGATAGATATATATATACTTGTTAATAAAAAAAAAAAGAAAAAAAAAAAGAAAAGAAAAGAAGAAGAATCGTACCATGAATTAAGTTTAATATATTGTTAAAGAGTTATATGGAAGGAGCCAAAGAGGAAAAAGAGCTCCCGAGTTTTGAATGGATTAATGACCTATCAAATATATAGTTATATACCATGTGGAATAATATCTATAAAAGATTATGTAGGAATAAAGTTAAGATTTAATTTTTGAAATATATTGATCATACCATTTTGGCTCTTGACTTTTTATGTTTCTTTATAAATTAAAGTCTTTAACTATGAATTTCTTATGTATTTCAGTCTACACGTTAATTGACCATCGAATCTGATGGTACAGAAATAATTTTTATGTTTTTCAAATTTTTTCTGATAACTTTTAAGGATATTCAAGTTAAAGTTGCCATGATAGTCTTCATTGAAAATATTTTAAAAATAAAAAATGCCTCTAGACAAGGGCAAGATGAATCCAGATTCAATTATTCATGTCATGTCAAACTTAAAAAAAAAAAAAAAAAAAAAAAAAAAAAAAAAAAAAAAAAGAAGGAAAATATCCCAAAGTTCATGGAGGGAGAAGCACAAAAATTACTTAATTCCTCTCCGGCAATCCCAAGGGTCCCTACAGTCCAACTCGACATAATATTTGGGAGGATATAAATCACGACAATGGCTCAATAGACATGACCAAATGCCGGAGCACACAAGGGATCTGTCCACTTTGGACATAATCCTCACACTAGTGTCGCCGGGGTTCGAACCTCGATCTCTTCTTCCAAATACTGCCTAATGAACTATTGAACTAAACCCGTGCGGGTACAAAAATGACTTAATTGCCCTTGAAATCAACGATTATTTAACAAAGATATGTAATAATTTCGCAATTAAGAATTTTAATTATTAGATGAATCTACAAATTTAGTTAGTACTAAATTTAGTATAGTCGAGGAATCATTTCAAAAAGTAACTTGAAAGATGAGGAGTTCATCTTAAATTTATTACTTAGCCTTGATCTATTTATACTCTCAAATCTAATAAATATTTTAAATATGATAGAATAATATGTTTGATTGAATTGACAATTCAAAACAAATAAGTTGGCAAATGATATACATGTTTTGGCTGCCCTGGCCTGCAGGTATTATTTGTGCTAACCTTAACTTCCATATCATTTTACAAGAGATCAGATGAGTAAATTATTATAAGAAAAATAATAAGATTGGAAGGAAAAAGAAAGACCTGCGGGACTACTCAAGATAAATTCCATGTAAATTCAATTTGGGATTAATTAATTTATAAACCACATTGCTGTCTACATACATGTTCTGGTCGGCACTTTCTTGCTCCCAAGAAACTATATTATAATTTTCTATATAGGTAAAATTCATTTTAAATTTCTCCTGTCAATTTCATGTTAAATTTATAATTATATTACAACTTATTTTGTTCCCATTAATGGTTATGTAATCCTATGGTCATGCCTATGTTATTTTCTTTTTATTACTCCCTTTATTTAAAAATTGTCTAGTTTTACATTTCCTGATATTCTATTTGTTTGGTAATATTTCTATGGAAAAAAAAATAAAGGAGGTGTTCTGTAAATAGCTGTTAGCTGATTGAGTTAGCAGGTTTAAATAGTTTATAACATTAGTTGATTGTAGAAAAGTGTTCGATAAATTAGCTGTTAGCTGTTAACTTATTACATGCAAAATGACTTTCTTATAATGCTAATCGAAAATGCTACTTTGAGCAGCTTTTTGAATTTTAGTATTTTAAGAGAATAAGTTGTTACAAAAAAGCTAATTAATCAAATACTTATATTAATTGTTTAACCAAGACAAACAACTAATAATGGTCAAATAAGTTAAAATTGATTGATAGACTAACTATTTTACCAAACAAG